TGTCTTCATCATCTAATTCAGACTGTATGAGGAAACAGGTCAGGTAGCAAGTCACCATTTTTCTCATGAGGAAACCTGATTGAGGTTATTTCTCCCATTATTTAGGTTGCCTTCAACTAGGGCGATACCATTCAAATAAGAAATGCATAGCAGCTGGCAACACTGCATCTCAACCTCATGTTGTCATCTCTGTGATTCTAAATCATAGAATCATAGAATCAACTGGGTTGGAAGAGACCCCAAAGATCATTGAGTCCAATCCTATCGTCATTACTAGACCATGGCACTAAGTGCCACATCCAGTCTCATCTTGAAGACCTCTAGGGATGGTGAATCCACCACCTCCCCGGGCAGCCCATTCCAATGCTTGATCACTCTCTCTGCAAAAAAATCTCTTCCTAATATCCAACCTAAATCTCCCCTGGCAGAGCTTTAGTCTGTGCCCTCTTGTCCTACTGCTGATTGCCTGGGAGAAGAGACCAGCCCTCACCTAACTCCAACCTCCTTTCAGGGAGCTGTAGAGGGTGATTAGGTCTCCCCTGAGCCTCCTCTTCTCCAGGCTAAACAACCCCAGCTCCCTCAGCCTCTCCTCATAGCACTTATGCCTGAGTCTGAACTTCCTTATTTGGTTGATAATTCTGACACTTTCACTGCTGCTTATCTTAACATATTTGGGTTTTGTAGTGTCATAATAAAGAGCTGTATTTTGATCAGATTACTGCTTAACTATGCCCATTTTGTTGTCGTCATTGTTGAAATCTGGAGGAAATCTGGTAAATCATGACTTTTCCATTTATTTCATGCAAAGATAGTATTTGTCCCCTGTGATGCTAGCTGTAATGAGCAGTGCCATTTAATATAAGAATATATAGCAGGCAAAGATCACCAAAACCAGACCAGGGCACTCTCAAAATCATATTAATTAATTAATAAAAAAGTCCACATTTGTATCATACCTTGCACACTAAAAACTGACTGCCAAAGTGACCAACATTTTATCCAGCACACCTATTCAATATTTTTGATAAATAAAAATATTTCCTAGTGCTTTTGATTCTACTTTACCCTGCAGAGCCAACACAGCTCAGAGAGAGGGAGCTAGTTCCCTTTTATGTGCCTCACCATTAGACTAAAGTTACTATTTCCAACAGTGATGCCACTGACAAGACACAAAAAATTACAGAAATCTGCAGCTATCACCCACCAGTCCAGTCTTGCTTGTCAAAGCAAATTTTGCAGGCTGCTATGGAGCTCTGCCAGGAGACAGAAGTTCTTGCTCTATGCTTACCTTCTTTTGAGGGAAAATAGACCCAAAAATATTTTAAGGCTATCAAAGCTTTAAATGACCACTTATATGCATAGGCCTCAGGGTGTCATAGCAATGTAGAATATTTTTCACTATGGTTAAGTTATTCTCGAATAATAATGCTAACCAGACAGGCCAAAACTATAGCTTGCATAAATCATCTCACTGTAAGTTTTCTAAGTCTCAGAAATGTGTGGACCATGCAAAGGCCTCAGTAACTGAAATATGACTGCATCTTTCAATGTCTATTTTTGCAGATTTCCCTTAGATTATAGAAGGCAATTTCTACAAGAGCCCTCTATTGTGCCCTAAAAGAGGCTAAAGAGGCCTCTAATGGGCAGAGTCTGATAGACTCTTCTCCAGTTTTGCAGCTGAAGAGGTGCTGGTGAGTTGAGGGATATGATTCCTAGCGTAGGCTGGTAGAGTAGAGAAAAATTGGATTTCTGCCTACAAAACTTCTGTTTCTCTGTAATCATGAGCAATGAGGATATCAGAAAGTGTACTGATAGGCAACATTTCCCACAGCATTGGAATACAATTAATAGTATTTCAGACTTATTATCCACCCTATCATGACTACAAATTTTGGAAACAACCCAGATAAAAGCAATGCCTAGCTGGGAAAATCAGATCCATCTGAAAAAACACAGTTTAAGTCTTGGGATTTAAATACTGACGGCAATAAGCAATCTTGGAGGCTACATCATTGCTTCCAACTACTGCAGTGAAGACATAGTGCAATTTACATAAGTTGTTTCTGTGTTGTTCAAGATCCCTGTGTTTGCTACTTAGAATGGGTTATCTGACACAGAACTAGGAAGCATTACCATCAAAAAGCAGGGCCCTCAAATGTTTTGACTGCTTGACACAGCCAAATCACTTTCCCTTTCAGAGATGCACAAAGAAATCAAAGTTTATTTTTATTAAGAACTCAACTGTGCCATGTTTCCTCATGCTGACAGTCCTAATGATGAAAGATCTTTGAACTAGAACCTATATCTCCATTTATCACCAGGCCTGTATTTGTCAAAGCACATTTTCACTTTGATTTCCTCTAGCTCCTAGGGCCTGTCCCTGCCATTCCCAAGAACACACACTCTTCAGTGAGTGGCCTCTCTTGCCACACTCTGTCACCTTAGTCAGATAACTGGATCATTTGCTGATGATTTGATATATTCAAATGTGCCATTGATTTCTTACAGTGTTAAAAGGCTGCCAGTTGTCTTTGTGACTGATCATTAAATATAATGGTAAAGTACATCACTTAACACTTACCTCAGAGTCACAGACATCTGCATGTAAATGTCTTTTTCTTTCTCCTCAAAACAGGAAGTAGATATTTATACAGTGAAAACCGAAGAACTGGAATTTACTTCTGCATTCTGCCTCCAAATTCAGCGTAATGATTATATTCATGCCTTGGTCACCTATTTTAATATCGAATTTACGAAGTGCCACAAGAAGATGGGATTTTCTACAGGTAATCTGTATTTCTTTTAATTTTATTTCTATTGCTATCAGTCTTTCAGTGCTGCTGGTCAGATGATATAGGAATGTTTAATGTACTACCAGGTTTGAATTTCAGTGATGGAAATTATTGTCAGTTTGAGGGAGGTGAGCAGGATGGGGTAAGGACAATTGCTTATAGGAATTCTGTGGAAACAGAGGTGGAATTGTGTGATGGCTACCAAGCTTAGAGTTCAGTGGGAATTATGACCTAGGAGTTTATGCCCCTCACCTGTGTCAAGTTTCTCAGATGACAGGGAATTACCAGCCCAGCGAGAGATGGCAGGTCAGCATCCTAGTTTTCCCCAAATCCAAAACTCAACAAAGCTCTTGCTTGTCTCAGAGTCTAGAGCAAAACCAGCATTTTTCTCCAAGCTGTAACCACATACATGTACTGCTTATGTAAATCAGCTCTAACAACTCAAATGTGAAACTCTAACTTAACCTGGTGAGCAGATGTTTAAGGAGTAACTCCATTCCTGTAAGGCATCATTTACTAGACTGAATAAACCACGTAGTGTTGCAAAGAATGTAAAAACCTCATCCTGTGTTAGCAAGTGTAGACAGGAGATGGAGGGAAGTGGTTTTCTGCCTCTATTCAGTACACCATTATATGGTTGCTGCAGAAGAAATTACTCCGTAAAATGGTCGTTTTGTCATCTGTTGCTAAAGGTTACCATTATCTAGAAGACTGGTCTAGATTCTCAGCTAGTGTCTGTTGGCAAAGCTCTACTGAATTCAGCAAAATATCCCAGTTTGTAGGACACGATTAAATGCCACTTCATTGATCTCTAATGTTTTTATTATGAAGAAAATAAGTGTGTGATTTGGAGTGGACTTGAAGATCTGTGCCTGCATTACACATACACACAAACCCTCTTCATGGAGCACAAGTTTCCAGATATGTCAGGCTTTCCTAAGGAAGATAGTTCTGTATAAGGGTATATGCACCTGTACATGTGTGAGTGCTATACAGCAATTATGATTAAAAATATAAATTCTATTTAGCTTTGGTCTAACATGTTTTTAGTTAGAAATTTTATGGAGGCATTCTCAAATTGTAAACAGAGTCTGGGTATGAACTCCTAGAAGAAGATCTCTCTATTTAACAACTGAGATTAACAATCATTAAAACTTCTGGACACATAGCCAGAAACTATCTGATAAAATCCTTTGGAAGAGATCTGTTTGCCAGCACAGTTTCTGGAAAAGGTTTGTTTATATCAGTCTTCCGATTCTAGAACTTTTTTAGGGAAAAAAAAATGTTTATTTTAAAAAGTGTCAGTATTTCCCCAGTCACAAAGAAATTCTGACGGAAATATTTTTCGAAACGTTCATGTTGAAATAAAATAAGACATTTATTTTATTAAGCAACATTAATATATTACTAGTATGATACAATACAATGACCTCATGTGGCTGGGGATACAAATAGAAGAAAAATAAGTTTATTGGAGGCTTTTTTTTGCTAGATCAGGAAGTCTCTGAACTTGTACACCTATTCCTAGCTTCCTAGATGCTCTTAACTGCAAGAATGCTAGGAACAAGAACTAACCAGTGCAAGTTCATTAGGCATTGCTCAAAGATTTGAATTTAAATCAGAAATAAAACCAAATTACTAAATTAAAAGCCTGAAATAGCAGAGGCCCATCACTTTGATGGCCCTCTGATGACTAAACAAGACTAGAAATTAATTTAGACCAGTTTCCATGGGCAAATTGCCCATAGCTTATGCCTATTAAAAATCTAAAACCAGAGCAAGGTGCAAGTGCCCTTTCACCAGCTCTATCCTCCTGGAAACTATAAAATCTGCTGTTCTGGGATCATGAGTCAAAGGTTTCATCTGTGGCATTGTGATTAATATTTTGATGAACCTTTCTTTCATGGTTTTCTATAATTATGTTTTAGCTAATTTAGATTTCTGACATTCAAAGCACTCAGTGTTAAAGATTTGCCCAATTTTAATATGTGTGGGTTGAAAGGAAAGCATCAAAAAAGTGCCCTGTTACCCTCTTTTTGGAATCCTTCTTGATGGGTGTGATTCACATCTGACACATTCCAGTAAAAATTAAAAGACAACCCACTGACAGTCAATAGAATTGTGTTGTTGTAAAGTATGTTTGCTAATATAGTACTCGAAGCATTCTATTTGAAAGTTTTTTTTCCACTTGTTCCTAAGTCTTAATCTGATTTGTAAGATATGGAAGAAATTTCTATAAGTAATGCCCATATATATCTTTTAGCACCTGATGCTCCTTATACTCACTGGAAGCAAACTGTCTTCTACTTAGAGGACTATTTAACTGTGAGACGAGGAGAAGAAATCTATGGGACTATATCCATGAAACCAAATGCAAAAAATGTGGTGAGTCAGCATCCCTGATACTAATTCCAACTCTATTGATCACAAACTGTAATCAACAGTAAAGAAAATGCATATGAGTAAAACAATGAGCATGCTAAAGGCATTCATGTTTATTAGTAAGAACTCTAGTCACAGCTTCACCAAAGCTGATGACAGCAATGATTAAGCAGTGCTAATGTTACAGAACTCATCCTGCAGACAAGCTAAGCATGGTAAGGGAGAAAGAAGTCAGATACATCACTAAGTCAGTTGCTCTCTGCAATCAGCTTGACTCACATTTTGTGACGCAAGTAGGCAAGGGTCTCTTCATACTGTCACCTTCTGCCAACACAGGATGATCAAGAGTAAGTACTTCAGTTCCACATTTATGGGCATGGAGTGATTTGAGACTTGGTGCAAAGGTTTCTCCTTTAGGAAATTAAGTAACACATTTCAGATGAATGTCTGTATGAACTCACTGATCTTGAACTCACTAACCGAGTGATAGGGTTGTTTAAAAGTTGTGACATTCCATAGGAAATACAGATGTTTTATTTAAGACTAAAGCTAAAGCATGATGGATATCACACGACGGGTGGAAACTTCCTTGATTTCTCTGCTATGGGCTGAATCCCTTTATGTTGGTTATTCAGTGCTTCATTTAACTTGCAATGAGGCTATGAGACATGGTCTGATAGACAACCCATGGCTGTATAGAAGAGAAAGACATGAGGAGTATGACTTCTGGAAGAAACAGTAACACCATTTTCTGCCAAAAAACTTGAGCAATATCTCTTCAATCTTCATTACAACACACAGCAGTTAAAATAACCCAGTTATCATCCATCTATGCAGTTGTTGTAATTGTTGAAATAGTGCATTTGTTGACTGCAACAAACCTTAACATTTCATTGTCTTCCTTTTTTTGCATTACTTTTCATTTTTTGTGCCAAACACAATTTGTGTATAGTTTTCATAGTAGTGTTTATACAGGGGAAGAAATAAACATAAAATAAAATTGGCATTTAAACAAACACATTCACCCCTGAAGATACTGCTTGCTGTGAAAGTGGAAAATAGTCTGTTTCCCACCTTTATGTTGCCCTTGGGGGACTAGAACATTTTCTTTTGGGTTGAATGTACCAATTTTCTTTGACAGAAAAATTAATAAAATACCTCAAATTTCTTTGCACAGCAGTAAGCACCTGAATGCAGATTTAGGTGCTAAAATTAATGTGTCCTTGATAGTTGTTCTAAGATAGAAAGACCACCTTGGTTCAAAAGGATTTGTTAGTGCTTTGCTCTTCTAAAACATGAAGCCTTTCAAAAGCTTGCAGAGACACAGCTTCCTTTTGTAGGGCTATGTAGCACCTCTTTCCAAAAAAACATGTCATTATAAGATAAAGAATGAGTAAGGGCTTCTCTACAGTGGGAAGTTTACTACATCTATTCTGGAATACCCCCTAGTGTGAAAATCCTTTAGTGTAGATTAAGAGCATCTCAATGGGGAATATCCTTCAGAAATCTTTATAGGATAGGTATGATATCAGCATTTCAGAAGCTTCCTAGTAGTAACCAGGACATTAAATCAGCCTTAAGATGAATATAGAAATATGACCTAAGCATAGATTATATGATGAATGCTGTTACACATCCTACACCTTGCTTTTTCAGTGCTAGCATCATGTGAAAACAAGAGAGGTTAGAAACTACTGTAGATATCTCTTGAATCTGCAGGTCTTTTCAAACCTAGCAATGATAACTGAATTAATACACTAAACTGACGATCTTACTTACATGTAATATTTGAATCTTTTTACAGCGTGACCTGGATTTCACAGTAGATTTGGACTTTAAAGGACAGCTATGTGAAATGTCAGTATCTAATGACTACAAAATGCGTTAGCAAGAAACCTTTCAGAGAAATGAAAAGGAGAATTTTATCAAGTCCTGAACTGCTGAGCTTCAAGCTAGGAACAACTGTTCACAAGATTATTATATTAAATACTAGAATGTTGACTCTGATGGAGAATGGTAACTTGATCTTTCTTGCAGATAGTACAGGGGGCTGGGATCCCACTGCGAATGTACAGTATACAGAACTGTAGCTTTTGTCAAACATAGGAAAAATAAGCAACAGTCTTGAGTGTTCTGGTTAACTTTAGGATGGCAGAAGATGCATATACAAATTGTATTACTTACTGTGAATTTCTGGTTCTTCCAAGCTTTGCATGTTAAAGATGATTAGGGCAGTTTTCTCACTATGAAAGACTACTACAGCACATTACTGTGATAGTATTACTGGACTTATATTCAATATAAATGAATATATATATATTGTACAATAGAAAAAAAGTAATTTCATTATAGGAATTTGTTTTGTGATTATTTAATTTTCATTATGCAGTTATGGAAAGATAATGATGTTACCTCTGGCACTACTCTAGGCAGTGATATATTCCATTAACTGTCCAATGTTATAGCTTTGGTAAATATTCCATGCAAAGTGTAGATAAGAGCTGGGCATTTACAGGAAGTTTAGCAACTATATTTTTGAATGTCCTCTGGAAAATGTGGACCATTAGTTCTGAAATTCACCTTCACAACCAGATGTCTGTCAGAGCTTTAAAAAACATAGCTTTTTATCCTTGAAAATATAGCGTGGTGAGTTTTTTATAGCTGGATTTTGCATGAGACCTGCTGAAATCAGACACCTAGTATTTAAATGTGATGAATGCAAAGTCTCTGAAATGGTGGGTAATTCATGTTTCTTAGCCATGCCATATTTCAGTTCTTTGCAAGACTCTTAATACAAAATAATTTTAAAAAATTAGGAATTAGTGTTTCCTTTTGGTGATGTTTTAGATAAGTTTTAAATTGCAAATACTATTCTCAAGAGTGCAGTGATTTGCAGGAACAAGTTAATGTCTTCAAAAACATGTCTCTGGCTTCTGATATTACTAAGATGTCTGTAGCTTCCCTATCCCCTTAAGCCCCTTGTTTTTCTTACAAAATCTCCTGTTTATTGTTAAAATATTAAGTGCTTATAATTCCTCATATGTATGTATCAGGTCTTTTTACTATATGAATGTGGACCATTTAATAACATGTAACTCATCAAAAACTGCATCATCAGTCCTATCCAGCCATTTTCCAGTCTGTCTGGCATTCGGCACTAAATCATGTTCCATCATGTATTGGATAAGATTGACTAGTTTTTTGCCTAAAATCTTTTTAATCACCTGCAAATAAAGCATACTTGAAGATGTATTTTGGCAGTATTTGTCAACTTCGCACTTTTTAGAAAGTTATTTCTGTTGATTTTCCCTTCACAGAAACTGTACAGTGCCTCCATTTTCTTATGCTCTGAAGATAATGGCCATGGGATTGTATCACATGGTATCTGTGTAGAATGGAATTAAACTATAATTCGGCAGTAAAAATATACTGTTTGCAATGTAGTTCATCACTGTTGTTTTAAAGCACTTTTCTCTCATATTTTTGGAATGAGGATGCACAACTTTCCTCACCAAATGACTAGGATTTTATCCATGAAATATTGCTGTCATTGTCAGGGAATCAGTTTAGCTACTCTTTCAGTAATGCACTGGGGGAAAAAAGCTCTAAAACTCCCTTTCTAGTAACACTTTTGTGATTCGAAGACTTTAAGGTGAGGAATTCTACAAGATTTTTTTTTGTCAGCCCCCGCCATTTATATAAAGATACTTAAACAATGTTTTCATCTTCTCATTTGCCAGTAATCACAGAGCTGACTATTACTGAAAGAGGAAAGATTCTTGCTTTGTTTGCCTAAATTATACTTTGACAGTACTTCAAACCATCAACTTCTCTTGCCCACTGCATGCATCTTTAGTAACTTTAATATTAAGAGAATAGCAAAAAAGGGAGAAAAAATAATCCCACATCTTGTTTAAAACAAGACAAATCAGGGGAAAAAAAAGAGAATTCCAAGGGTCTTTACTGAGAATGTGTCATTTCTGCCTGACAGAAAGCACTGAACAAGAAGCAGGAAAAAACCAAACTTGATCAGAACAGCTCATTAACCAATTTGAGGGGTAGTTAAGCACTGCTGTGCTCTGACTGCCCTTCTGGCTCCATCTTTCAGCTACTGACAATGAAGTGTAGGTGTCCCCTCAATAGTGGCCACCTTGCCTTAGTACAAAGTTCCCATTCACTTCAGTGTTGCAAGATTAAGTCCTGGCTGGTACTGTTAATGGCACAGTTCTGGGGTGGCAACCAGACCTCAAGCCCATTCAGTCCTGGAAAACTGGCTTGTGCTTTTCTTCACATCAAAAAAACATATCACATATTTCTCCATCACAAAAAGAACTGAGTGTGCCTGCTTCAGTGCTGAGTGTGTTCAAATCACAGTGATCAAAAAGCACATTCAGGCTTCCAAGGCTGTTATAGGTGTTAACCTACCACCAAGGTTTTGAAAGCACTAATGAGTTCAGCACACAGATAGGTCAGCATTAGTGAAACAAGTGTGCAAAAATCTTGTAGGCCAGGTGCAATTGGCTGTGAGGCTTTCCCCTTCAATCCAACAAGTCTGGGTAACTACCAGACAGTCTGTGCCAAACATTCTCAAAGCTTGAAGGAGAATGTCTCTCAGGGACACCAAGGTTGAAGCAAAGCCACTGGTCTTCAAAGCTTTTCATTAAAATACTAATGACAAAATGACTGTTGACAACTGAAACAGACACGTTTAAAACTTTTAATTTCCTTTCCACTGACAGGGAAAAAGATAATGAGCTGAGGACAGAGCATGAGAAACAAACTGAAATACAGTATTCACATAAAACACTGTCCCTGATGAGTAATACAGGACTGGAGAAAAAGAGAAAGCAGGTTGTTTTAGCCATGATTCTGATCTTATGGCAAAAGTATTAAAACTCTTCTCAGGGATCGTTCTGTCACTTGAAGCACAAAGGAGCATCCAAAAAAAGCCAGATACTGTGCATGCCTCTAAAAGGTATTGTGGGCAATTCACACTTCCAGCGCTTGTTAGTATTAATGAAGTAGTCCCTAATGTTAGGAGGGCCACTCTGTGTACCCAAGGTTCTCTACAGAGCAGTATATTATTACCTGAATCTCACATGCTCTTCTTATTCCCAGCACTAACTAGCCCTTGTCAGATGTTATTTAAAGTTTCAGGTTTGATTTGGGTTGGAATTTGCAGGGGTTGTTCTGCGAACCTTCATATGTGCAGAATTAGGAGGTTTAGAGCCTTTTTACACTGTCTTAGAATTTTAATAGCTGTTGAAAGAGCCCGGAATATAAACAAGAATATTAACCAAGGTGGCATGTTTTTACTACAGCTCTAATTTGAAGAACCTTCTCAGAGATAATTTCTTACAGGCTTTGTTTTAAATTTAATATCAATTCATAAATTAATTTAACACATACAGATTCGATTATAGATAACCAAGAGAAACTTCATTCACTTAGAAGGTAATTTTGTAAAGGATACATGGTATGCTATCTACATGAATGAAGAATAAATCCCTGCTTTAAGAAGATAAGAAAGTACAGGCTGGGGAACAACCTGCTGGAAAGCAGCTCTGAGGAGAAGGACCTGGGGGTCCTGGTGGACAACAAGCTGTCTATGAGCCAGCAGTGCCCCTGAGGCCAAGAAGGCCAGTGGTATCCTGGGGGCATAAGGAAGAACATTGCTAGCAGGGGAGGTAATCCTGTCCCTCTACTCAGCCCTACTGAGCCCAGATCTGGTGTGCTGTGTCCAGTTCTGGGCTCCTCAGTACAGCAGAGACATGGAACCCCTGAAGCAGGTCCAGCGGAGAGCAACAAAGATGATTAAGTGACTGGAGCATCTCTCCTACAAGGAAAGGCTGAGGGAGTTGGGCATGTTTAACCTTGAGAAGAGACAACCTCATCAATGTCTATATGTATCTGAAGGGAGGGTATCAAGAGGATGGAGTCAGGCTCTTCTTGGTTGTGCCAAGTAGTAGGACAGGAGGCAGCAGGCAGAAACTGATGCACAGGAAGTTACACATGAACATAAGGAAAGAGTTATTTAGTGTACGGGTGACCAGGCACTGGAACAGATTGTCATGAGGTTCTTGAATCTCATTCCCTAGCGATACTCAAAAGTCACCTTGAAATGATCCTGAGTAATTTGTGCTAGGAGACCCTGCTTGGGCAGAGGTGTTAGACTAGATGACCTCAACTGGTCCTTTCCAACCCTAACCATGCAGGGATTATGTGATTTCCAAGAACAGAGATTCTCCAGCATCTCTGGGCAGCTGTTCCAGTGCTGTGCTAATCTCACAGGGCAGTACTTTATATTCAACTGAAATGTATTGTGGTTTAACTTGGTACTGTTGGCTCTTGTTCTTTTACTATTTGCCCCTGAGAAGACCCTAGCCCTCTTTTCACTGTACTCCCCTTTAGATACTGGATGATACAATTAGTTCCTTCATGGTAGCTCCTCTCTTCCGTACACAACCCATAATTGCATCATAGCCTTTTATATTCATTGCACCTCCTATCCACCTGTAATCCTTGCCCCCTTTTTTCCTTCTAAGGGAGGCTAAGTATATATTGCTGCTGTTACATAGTGCTTAACAAATGCATGTCAGGGTTTTGCGAAGAATGTAACCCCAAGGATCACTACTTAAAGAGAGCTTGACGTTTTCTTACTGTGTTGTGTTGGTGGCATGCAGGACACATCTTGTGAGTAATTTTCAGGTTGACATATGAGGTCTAAATTTATGCCAGTGTGTGCACTTGACTAGTTTCAATATACAACAAAGCCAGGTGATTTCTTTTTCAATAGGCATTCGGCACTCACAGGCTAGCTCCAACTGGAAAAGTGCGAGGGTTTTAGTCTTCTTTGAAACATTTCTTTGAAACACTTCTCAGCGATCA